ATATATATATATATACTCACACACACACATACACATATATACACATATATGTTCCTTTTCCCCATCTTTTCCTCTAGCTTTTCTCCCTTTCCTTGATACTCTTGTCTCTTATCATCATCTAATCTTCTTGTCCTTTTTTCTCTGTAGTGGTCCATTTGAGAAGGAGCTACATACTCCTTTGGTGATGTTCTGTCTTCTTTTTCACACACATGAACTGATATGTACCACAGATGGACATGAGTTTGAAAGTGGAAAATAGACAACACTTTCTGTAAACAAAAGTGGTGCGCGAGGGTAGAATAGTGAGGAAAATCAGTCAGCCAGGTAGCATCGGGGAAGCCACAGTAGAGCTGTCTCTACTCTTAGGCTTTTAAAATACAAAGGCAAGTGGGGACATCTGTCATGGTAAAGTGGTGTAGGAGCCCTGTAGCCACTTGCAAGGGACCAGCCTGGGAAGTTGGGGCTGGGGTTTGGGTGCACCTTGGCCTTGGGCACCTTGTGTCCCACTGGTGGGCCATTCAGTGGTTAGGGAATGTGTGCACAGATAAGCCAGGCAGGTGGCAGAACCACTCAGCTCAATCTCCGGCCCTGTGCCCAGATATGTAAAGCAGCTTCCAGTGTCCTGATGGTTTTGCCAGAAGAAGGGGCCAGCAAGACGCTACTAACCAGAATGGGTCTGCGTGTGCATAGCTGCTATTTCAGGTGCCTGCTGGAAGGTGCTCCAAGACAGAACTGAAATATGGAGGAGTATACCCTCCTCCGGTTAACGAAAAAGTTAAACCCTAAATTTACATTCATGGGCTTCACAGAGGCTGGGGTTGCCAGGCCTTCGCCACCTGATTGTTTATGAATCTCTTTTCTCTTGACTCTGGAGCTTTTCCTGGAATCCCTGCACCCCTGGTTGCTGAATGACACCCTCAGTGCCTTTCTGTCTGTCTCTCTGTTTCTCTTGTCCCCTTTTCTTTCTTTCTTTCTTTCTTTCTTTCTTTCTTTCTATTTTTTTTTTTTTTTTTTTTTTT